GGAGCCGGAATGCTTCGGGTGGCGTGGTCATCAAGGCCGGCACCGGTAATTTTCCGGTGTGGTTCAAACGTGCAATTTAATAGACCATGCCCGCAAATGACGTTCCTCCGGTAGCTGGCGTGTTTGGTGTTAAATTAACGAAACCTGGACCCTACGGACAAATAGGAGAAAGCAAGGCGATGACTTGCTGCCTTAATTCCCGCTTTTAGGCATTTGATTTTCCATCGGCATATTTATCGGCTATAACGGCCGCAATTTCATTGCGACAATTAGTCGGTGACTATATAATGTTTTATATGGATTGGTCGTAACATTTTGGGAATAGTAAGCATTGCGCAACAACGTCTCCGAATCCGCTAGTTCGTGAAATCTCGTTTCCCTTCCTATTCTGTATACTCGTTATAACATTTAAAAAGGGGGACGTTTTCCGCATTACTCATGCGCTCCACGAAGTACTTCTTACAACACCTCGCTGTAAAAAAATAAAAAGTGATTTATATATATATATATATATATATATTTGTGACACGTGTAAGTTTTGATAAAATAACAATAAATCTTATCTAAGGCGCACCTTCCTCATATACAGGGTGCGGCCGTAAAAACTTTCACATTTGGCACGCCTAGCAAAAATCGAATTTCAAACATACATACCTGAAATTGGGCACACGAACGTCGATTATTCCAAAGTTTTTTGCCTATTTTTTTCAGACATCAACTCTGGAGTAGCGAATTATTAGAAAGATAACAAAAATGGCAGACGTGCATTTCCTATGGCCTATACCCGCCCGTTCGCCGTCTGCTATCTGGTTCGCGACGCCGCTCCCAGGTGGCGCACTGAACGCAAAAACTCGGGAAACCCGCTCGAAAGGCTGGTGTCGGGCGAGATAATCGCGATAAAAAGTGATTTGAACCAAATATATGAAGAATCGTTGAAATTACCTGTTTCAAGTCAAGTTCTGACAGATCTTCATGCAAGCAAGAAGACACCATGATGCGACGAGATCATTTATTTACAGCTGCTCGTCTTGTTGACAATTGCGGGTCGCTCTCGAAGACAGCAAGCACCGCTTCAATGAGCTCCTCATTTTTCAGTAGGCTCTCACGTTCACTGACTGGATTCTTCTTTTTACAGTCTTCTCCACTCACAAAACGATCCGCCCAACTCAAAACAGTTGGGCGTGAAGGCGGGCGTTTATGAAATGCAGTGCGAAATTTTCGTTGTGCTGTGGCCACCGAGTTCCGCTCCACGTACCACTTGACTGCCTGGACACACTCACTTGTCGAGTATTGTGGCATCGCAGGGCGGCGCGGAAAATATTTTGATAATAACTGCAGAAGACAGTGCAACAAAAGCAATAAATAGGAACAATCAAGATGCCTCAGCAGCGACACTCTTGATTCCAAAGTTGAGCTTTCACCGGGAACGGACCCGTCAACAGATAAGCAGACGACAAATGAAGACACACGTTCGTCTGCTTTAGAACATATTTTTATTAAACGAGGGCGTCCGCCAGTTTCTAAATTTCAAGTAAAAGGGCATAATCGTTCACATATTTCGGTAAAATCACTTTTTATTGTGATTATCTCGCCCGACACCAGCCTTTCGTGCGGCGTTTCCCGCGTTTTTGCGTTCAGTACGCCATCTGGGAGCGGCGTCGCGAATTAGATAGCAGACGGCGAACGGGCGGGTATAGGCCATAGGAAATGCACGCCTGCCATTTTTGTTATCTTTCTAATAATTCGCTACTCCAGAGTTGACGCTTGAAAAAAATAGGCAAAAAACTTTGGAATAAACGACGTTCGTGTGCCCAATTTCAGGTATGTACGTTTGAAATTCGTTTTTTGCTAGGCGTGCCAAATGTGAAAGTTTTTACGGCCGCACCCTGTAGGCATATTAATTCAACGCAAGAAGTGCAAAATTGGTAACGTTCAGCGAGAGGCTGAACTTCTTTAACTAAGCTTCTTAAGTTGAATTCGCAATAAAAAAAATAATCGAGGCAAAAAATATATATATATATTGTGTCAGCTTTTATTCAATCTGAGACATGCACGACGCTTTCTTTTAGAAGTCAAATAAAATTAGTTCTCCCACGAGATAAATAGACTCTAGGAACAACGATAAAAAATTAATGAAAAACACTGCAATACCAAAAAACATAGTAAAGCAAAAAAGAAAAGATGAGACAAGGGGGTAGTGTTTTGAGAAGTGTGTCAGAAAGGTGAGAAAGAAGGGAGAAAAAGAGGGTGCGAGTAGAAAAGATATTTACTGAAAGAAAAAGAGGGAAAGAGAGAGAAAATCGGGGCTGTCAGAAAATATCAAAGCGGTCTCTGGGAAGAAATTTTCTTTCGGGGTAAATTGCACGGCGGAACTTCGGAACCTTTTCGGAAATTGGAAAGGGCGGCCGACGCGCAAGCTGGGGTCCAGCACATTTCGCTTTGTCCCTGTCTTTGGCGTTTATTATTGTGTTTGTTTTTTTTTTTTTTCGTCTCCCTTCTCAACCAACTCGCTGACTAGTGTGTGTATGTCAATTCCGCTTCGTTTCGTTGGTATATGTTGACATCTCTTTTGTCCTTGCTATACAGTTTTTTTTTTCAGTTACTTCTAAATTTTGTTTTAGCTGTGTTTGGCTCAAAGAGTTGGTTGGGGTCGTAACATTTTGAAATAGTTTCTCCTCGCGCAGTCGAGAGCCTTGAACGCGCTTCGTTTACTCTAAATGCCATATAATTATTTCGGAGATTTTATTATACGCGCGTGGAGTAAATTATACACTATAACGCGCCATTAGTAAAAAAAAAAAAATTACGTCCCTATTTTTTTCACTTGTCGCGACAAAGTTTTGGTTTCTGGACGTCAGTAGTACCTGAGCTTCCCTTTACGTAATTGCTACGGCGTGTAGACCCGTTTTTTTTTTTTTTTTTTTTTTTTTTTACGCCTTTTAAGAAGTTGAGTTTTTCGTGTGTAATGAGTGCGGACGCATGTTAAATGTGAAACAATATCCGACGTCCAATTTAAATAAGGTATTCCCTCGATATCAAGCTGTCATGTTTAACAAAGTAGCAACCAAAAAGGACGACACCTATCAGGGACAGGAGATGGCATATTCCTTACGTCTCACTTATTGATCGAGAAACTTTGATAATCTCTGGCTGTCACAATATTGATTTTTTAAGTTTTATTTTTCTTTTTTTTTTTCTTCTACCTTGCTGCTTTTTGCGGATGCGTGGAGGGGTCGAGAACTCCAACGTTGTCATTGTTGTGTCAAAAGAATCGCGGCATTTCTGGGATGGGGTAATATATTAATATTTTCTAAAGAAGGACGGTTATCCACAAAGTACGATGGAGGTCAAAATACCTCCTTTGCATACAATTGTGAACTAACAAAAATTAATAATTTCCCCCAAAAATATGCGCCGAAAAATCGAGGGAGAGTAAGAGACATGAGCGCGGGGACACCAGGACTTCGAGCTCTGGTTGGAACGATAAGTGGGTAAACCTCGCGTTCTAACGCCTTCCATGAGTGCACTGGAGACAAAGGCAGAAGGCTTTAGGACTACGTACTAGTCCATAGCCTTCTATATACTGACAAAGCCTGGCAGATCTCCACATAAAGCGGCCGCCGAAATGGAAAAGGTGGAGCGGCAGACAACGGATGAGACGAGAGCCACGGGACATGCGCCCCGCTGCGGCGAGACGCCGAAACACACTTCTCCCGAGCGAACAAGTGTGTTTCGGGTCCTCGCCGCTGCAAAAGCTGTGCGCTGGCGTCCCTGAGAAATGGCTCTTTGATGCTCTGTGATAACGGATCCTCGCGCTTCAAATCGGTGACCGGGCACTCTATGGCTGCGTCGTCGAACTGCCAGGCTTTGTGAGTGTAGAGGAGGCTATGACTCGTGACAAAGACAGCTAGCTTTAGGTGTACGCACTAACCATTCGCACCAGACACGGCCGCTGTGACGTCCCCTCCTCTCCCTCAGCTTCTCGGTGCATATGACTCCTGCTGGTGGCAAAACTGACATGACTGTGAGATAGTCTGGATTGAAAACTTCACATCCCCAAATAATACCAATATAATAAATAATGCTTAATTTTTTTCATCTTTTATTTGGTATTTAGTAAAAAAAGACGCGATACATATTTAGGCTCTCGCGCCTGCCTTAAGCTGGTACCTGCTCGATTAAAATTGGACGTAATTTTATATTACATCCAATTTTACTCATGCCAAAGCTTCTCGCAAATATACAGAACAGCCTTTTTTACGAATATTATTTAAACTAATTTTAAACTAGCTGTAGTCGCTGACGGGACGAGAACTGGAGGGAGAAGTTTCAGTTCCGCCTCTATCGTGAGCTTCGTACCTTCAGTAACACTTCGCCGTTTCATTACCTTCGAGCGTGCTCAAGGAATTAAAGCACGGCGGAAGGCTTTCAGAAATGTCTTCCCATTCTCATATTGCACGTGACTAGGTGCCAGAACAAATGTTAAAAAAAAAAAACTACTGGTTGTCACCTCAAGAAAAACAAAACAAGTGAGGCGTATCGTTCATACACCTCGCGAAATAGTTCCTAAAATATTTGGTTGTCGGAAGAATAAGCGATGCTTTTGGCGTTCGAAACGTGTGAATCTTGATAAGATAACGTATATCTAATCTAAAATGCACCTACATATATCTGTATTATCCACATAAAGTGGGAAATCAGCAGTGCTCCGCAAGATGCCGGACTACTTGTACTACGGTCTTTCAGATAAAAACGGGCATAACAGGTGTTTCAAAAGGGGTTCTTATGTTGTATATAAAAAAAAAACGGCGTTCACTTAAACATTTTTATTTGTTTACTCAGCTATCCTCTTCCGCTAGCCTACTGAACATTCGATTTTGAACTTCTGTGTTGTATTTATGATGTGTGCAGTTCCCGAGCTTATCTACGAAGCACCACGGAAGGCGGCCGATAACGGTTCTTTCTGTTCCCTTTCCCCTCCCTTTCTATTGTCGTTTCAGACAAACGCAACGTGGACAAAACATCACGCAGATTCTGAATGCCTTCTTTACACGTGGGTACGACAAGAGGGTGAGGCCCAACTATGGCGGTGAGTACACACTGCACTTTTTTCTTTACACGCGCTGAGTGCTTGGAGTGACATTAAATCCCCCCTCCCCCTTAAAAAAACAAACGTTGTTCGGTATTTTATTAACAATGTATGGTGTTTCTGAGAAACGTTCTTAGCACATTTTATGAGACGTGAGACACATTTTGATAAAAACCGGTTCCGAAAAATGTTGTTGCTTTTCGTGTGAGTGTGTGTGTCTTTTCTTTTTTTTGCCGAGCGTAACATAAAATAGATTAAAAAAAATTAATAAAAACACGTCGCAAGACCAAAATTTGCCTCGAGACGTTCATATTACCCTAATTTGTTATACATTTTGTGACCTAAATGATACCTTTTTCTTCCTTCTTTTGTTTTGGTTGGGGGGGGGGGGGGGGGGAGGCTGGAGTTACTTTGGGGGAGGCTGGAGTTACTTTAGAGGCATAGGCGTCCTATTAATTAATTTTAAAGCATTTTAAGAGTTCATTAGCCCTTTATAAAAGTATATTAAGTCTCCGTATATAATGCGACAATTTGGTCATAAACAAATGCATTATGGAGGTCACGGGGTTCTGTGCTCTCACTCAAACTTTACGTTTGAGAGCCTTTCTGGATCTAACACTAAGCTAAAAGCAAAAAAAAAAAAAAATTGTCTCTAAATTGATTTTAGTGTGTGCTCTCGCCCCCCAAAGCTTACGTTTTACTTCGCGATGTAAGACGTAGACTTGTAGAAATATTATGGGTATTTCGGTAAAGTGTGTCTGACATGATGTTTAGCATTTCATATTTTAGTTTATTTGGTTGTTGATTGATTTACGCAACAATGTGCTAAACTGCATAGTTCTTCATCCTACTTTGTTATTTTTTTACAAAGTTTATTGCGCGATTTTTTCTTAACATTGACTTAAATGTCGTGTCATTGTCGTGCGCAGCAGAGCAACGCCTGTTGAAACTAAGAATAAAATTTCTAATAAAATCTTTGTCACGAAAACAACGTGGGCTTTCACACAAAACTGATCGCGTTTTTGTTATTCGAAAAGCAAAATATACTCGGAATGGATAGGTAGCGTACAGCGTATTGAAAAAGCAAAATATTTGCAGCTGAAATCCAGTTTCGGATGATTAAATAATGTCCCCTTTCTTGAAATCTCCTTTCAGTTCCAGAAGGACTCGCTTTACTTCAACATAACTCTATAAAAATAGCCTTAATATCCGAGTAGCGGAGTAATAAACCTTTGATGCCAACCTGTTTTGAAAGCCCTTAATTGGGGGATTAGTCTGACGAACATTGCCAAGATTAATGCGTAAGCCATTAGCCGTGCGAAACACTAAGTGGATAGTAAGTTGCATCATGAAGGATTAGGCGTCCATCCCCAAACCTTATACCCTGCGCAGTGGCTGTAAAGCAAGCACGACCAGTTACTATTTTGGGGATAATCTTGAAACCCCCTCCCGGCGTTCTGGACTGTAGACGAAAAAACAATATACATATATCTGTGTATATATATATATATATAGCTTGCGATACCAGCGATCAATACATGTTCCGGGTGAATATTTTCTACGCTCGTACTAACGCGACGAAGTTGCGCTACGCGGCGCTCACGTGTGATTGCCTGATTTGCCTCGCTTGAGGCCAGAATTGTAACTTTCTGAACAGTCATTGTCGGCTGAAGATATGCAAGGCGTGGCCTAAATTTATGACACTACTCACATCGGGATTATTTCTTCGGCATTTTTATTCATTTGCTGCCGCGATCTGTTTTGTCACATAGTGATAGTAAGATGTTTGGTAGTTTAAAGGCCCCGCTTTCATTGAGCCGTTTTACAGGGGTTACGGTGGAAAGTGCGCATTCGGGGAGCAAACCTAAACGGCGCAGTCTGATGCTCGACACTACATCGTCTCAGTGCAATGTCGCGTTCGCCCTAAATGTGACCAGCAGTGCTCATGGTGTCCGAAAGAATAGTGTACGAGGTTGTTTCTCTTTCACCTCGAAAATAAATCTACTCATTGCTAAACGTTCGTTCTCCTTCCACATGTAGCGCTATACCGGGTCTAATGAGATACCAAAGTTTCTGCCCTAAACGTTATCTATGGGTCATTCCTTATCAAGCGTCCCAGACGTTGCGCTCGACCACCTCCGATTTCTAAAAGAAAATTCGTAGCCTTTTGCCGCAATCTCCATAGCCATGCCCTACAATATTTTTGACGAAAAAACAATTTTTGATAACGTGTGCGTGGTTTTAACGTTTATAAACAGCGTGAAACTAGGCATCACTCAATAATTGATGACAAATCTGACTTTTGATGAAACACCCCACAATATTTTTTTCTTATATTTGCACAGCTTTCGACTTACAGTGTGGCTGGGCTTCTGCAGTTTTGTTTAAATTAAATACTTAAAAAAACATTTTTTTACTTCTAAATTTTTGGTATTTTTTTAAATATCTAATAGCTCCCGGGTCTTAATAGAACTATTTACCGGCTGCCCTGCAGGTATATAATCTATTAAAAAATGTTTAAAACCGCTCACTTAAATATTTCGCAGTAAACAAAAATCCTGAAGTTGCAAAAAAGTGCGCTTTGACGTATAAACAGCCTTTTATTTCACATTGAGGTGGTCCAAGTAAAAATACAAAATGTAGTTGGTTTGGAATAACAATCGATTGTCTTTTGATTTTGAAAGTTTAATCAAAGTAATTTTTGTTTAAAGGGAGAAAACAATTTTTGAAGTTGAACTCTCGCACCACAACCCGGCGTCGCTTCTTAACGCCTCTTCGCCGCACAGCACGCCACCTGCGACGATAGCTGGCACGATTAGGTTCAAAGAAAGAAGGGACTTTGCTGCCACTTCCCTTATCCGTTTTTTCCGGGTGCAAGGGAAGAAACGGCGGGTATCCTGTAATAATCGGATGTGCCGCCAGTGCGTAGCCATAGCAGGCCCGTTGTGCCCTTTGTACCTGAGGGCGGCTCGAAACGCGATGCCTAAATGACGGGCGGCATCAGGCGGTGTGGACTTCTCCATGCCCTGCCAAAGATTCTACGTCCACCTGATTCCTAAAATAAAATTAATGTCTCTTCACCGAAATATTTGCGGTGCCCATTTAACATATTTTTTGACGAAAAACAAATTTCATGTGGTGATGGCGGTTTGAACTCGTAAAAATGGAGTGAAACTAGGAGTCATTTAATAATTTATGAAAAGTAAGATTTTTTTTACGGAAACCTGGAATATTTTTGCCTAAACCCGATACGGTATTTGGATTTCTTTACAATAAGGATCATGAAATTCGGTATACTCGAAGAGGTTTTAAAAAATAAAGAATATATGAGCATTTTAGCAATTTTTAGTTTTGTTACAAACTATCTCTTTGGTGCAAGCGACTGTAAAGAAAAACGTATTGACAGCCCTGTTAATAGGTTTTGGGCAAACAGACAAAGCGCCATTTTGCACTCAATTTGTGCAAAATTGCGCTTTGCCGTTTAAAGTGCCGTCATTTTTGCCTTGAGGTGGCCCAAAGAAAAATACGAAACATGGTTACTTTTACAGAAGAGTTTATTGCCTTTTGTTCTTAAAAGTTTAATTTGAATAATTTTGTTCTAGAAAGGAAAAAAACATTTCGAAGTTGAGTACTCGCGCCACCACTTGGCGTCGTTTCTTGCGCCTCTTCTCTGCACAGCACGCCACCGTCGAGCCCGGCAAAGAGTGCGACAGTGTCACGCTATGCTCACGCTATGCTCACGCAGGCAAACAGCAGGACCTCGAGTTGTCTGGTACACTCTTGTAGGAAGAGGCTTTTTTCCACTCGTGTTTCTTTATTACTTTTCCAATTTCAACCGTTTTGCGCGGCGGTGTCCTCCTGTGGTCTTCCATTGTCTTCATATCAGCAAATGCTTAGCGCTGCCAGGTTAGAGCATCCACAATAGTAAACTAGCTGTTTCTTACGTACACATCGCAATCAAGCCCTCTTTTGACAACGTCAGGACAGATGTAAATAGCAACACAAATGCCCCGTGAACGGGCATTGTCAAACGACGAGGCGATGTGGTGTTAACGAATGCGCGCCGTTGGAGGTTCACGCCTCGTTTGTGTTTATATATCGGCTTTGGAACAGCAAATTCTTTCGTCGCTGAATAGTTCCGCTTTTGGGCGCAGTATACGTGACGGCTAGACTTGGCGGCGATATTATCGCGTATCCCTTTTAGGAGAGGTTCACGTCAGCTCACACCGCCCGTCGTTTAGGCATCGCGTTTCGGAGTGTGAGGAGCCGTCCTCAAGTACAAAGGGCACAACGAGCCTGCTATTGCTACGCGCTGGCGGCACCTCCGATTATTACACGATACCCGCCGTTCCTTCCCTTGCAGTCGGAAAGACGGACAAGGGCTAGTGGCAGCAAACTCCTTTATTTCTTTGGACCTAATCGTGTGAGCTATCGTCGCAGTTGGGGTGCTGTGCTTCGAAGAGGCGTTAGAAGCGACTCCAGGTCGTGGTGCGAGAGTTCAACTTCAAAAATTGTTTTCTCGCTTTAAACAAAAATTACGTTGATCAAACTTTCAGAATCGAAGGACGATCGATTGTTATTCCAAACCCATCATATTTTGTATTTTTAACTGAACCACCTCAGGGTCAAATAAACAACTGTTTATGCTTCAAAACGTACTTTTTTGCAACTTCAGGATTTTTGTTTACTCCAAAAATATTTGATTGAGCGGTTTTCAACATTTTTTTATAGATTATATACCTGCCAGTAAAAAGTTCTATTAAGCCCTGGGAGGATATAGATATTTCTTAATAAAAAACAAAAATGCTAAAATTTTCAAAAAAAACTTTTAGTTTTTTTTAAATATTTAAATTAGACAAAGCAGCACAAGCCGAACCACATTGTAAGTCGAAAGCGTGCAAATTTAAGAAAAAATATTTGTGGGTATTTCACTAAAAAGCCGATTTTTCATCAATTAGTGAGTGATGCCTCGTTTCACGATGTTTCTAAAAGTTAAAACC